TTCAATAAACAAATTTTCAATAAGTTTTCAAACAATGGTGTTTATAAAGAGCATGGGACTATATAGAAGGTGACTGTAGAGGAGGGAAACTGTACTACTGAAAAATTACTATTGTAGAGCTTGCTATTCTGTTAATACATATAATTATTTAAAGGTTTACATCAAAATAATATTTTGAGTTACTATAAAAATTCTGTTATGGAACTTGCTATACTATAAATAGTATATAGTTAAGGTTGAGTTGTTTACAGTCGTTACCTATAATCACAGTTTGTTTTACATAAAAAAGATATGATTATAAAATTTAATAGTAATATGATTATATAAAGATTTTTTAATAAATAAATTGCCAATAATTTTCAAATAATAGTGCTTATAAAGTAGGTATGATTATATAGAAGATTACTATAGAGGAGAATGACTGTACTATAGGAACTTCTATTGCAGAACTTACTTACTATTCTGGTAACACATAGTATAAAGTAGGTTTGCATTAAAATTATTGCAATTTCTACTAAATAAATTTGTTATATAACTTATTTATTTGTTAACATATAGTAAAGTAAAATCAGATATTATGGTACACTTAAGAGTTGCTAATAGTAAATTTTTTATAAAAGGCATATTTATTCACAATATTTATCAAATAATATATTCGACCTACCATTTAGCAATAAAAAAAAGTCTTGATTTTAAAACAAACTTGATTTTTTAAACTTTCAAAAAACTATTATGCTTTTTAAGACAATATTAGTATATGTAGATAACCTTTTTATATTTTACTTCGCTGATCTCTTCCCAGAAATTATCCAAGTAGGAAAAAAGAAAAAAAGAATATCAACTACAACATGATGTCTAATCTTCCCTTAATTTTTAAATGGAATTGATTAAATTTTTAATCATTTGATTTGTCTCAGTAAAATGAACTGAATAATACTAAAATTATTCAATTCTAATCTATAGACTTCTAGATATCATAAAAAAATAGAAGTGTACTACAATACCACTGTACTATACCTGACTTCACCTTATGTGGTTAAAGTAAGTTGATTTAACCATAATCTACTATAAAAATTTTGTTACAGAACTCACTTGCTATTCTGTTGATACATGGTGTGTGGTTAATATTAAGTTAATTTGCATTGAAATAATATGATTTTTATAATAAGGCACTATAAAAAATTCTGTTACAAAACTTGCCATTCCAGTGACACACAATATGTGGTTAAGATTGAGTTAATTTGCATTAAAATTATTGTAATTTTTTTGTTACTATAAAAAATTCTGTTGTAGAACTTGCTATTTCAATAGCACAATATTATTAAAGTTAGTTTGCATTAAAAATATAATAATTTTTATTGTAAGCAGCTGTGTCATGAAACTTGCAATGCAATATACAGTTAAAGTTTAGATAGTTTCATTCAAATTATTATGATTTTTATTAAGAGTTATTGTAAAAATTCTTACTCTCCACTATTGTACGTTGTGACAAGGTAAATCGTGGCTTGGGTTAAAATTTTCTGTAAATAGTAGATTAGATGCATATTTACTTGTATGTGGCACAGTTATTTCGTATGAATTTGAAAGAAGTCGATCATACAAATTCGTACGATGCTTTCACCTTCGTATAGTCATCGGCAAAAATAACACCTGATTTTGATCATGTGATTGATTCTTGAGCTTTGCGAAGCCATTCCTTACAGACAAAAATATAAAGGCAAGGTTTGAATGGTGTCAAAAATACCTATCATATAGCGCCTATGATTGGCGGCACATAATATTTTCTGATGAAACATCCATCGAAATCAGTAAACAATCCCGCCAAATTAGAGTGCGGTGTCTTGATGGTGAAAGGTATAAAAATAAGTGCTTAACCCCGAGTTTTAAGAGTGGTAGACATTCGGTAATGGTGTGGGGTTGTTTCGTTGCCGGAATCAAGGGTCCCCTCATTTTTTTTGATGAATATAAGGGACCAAAACAAAAAATCAATAAAAAAATATATACTAAGGTCCTGGAGGACCATTTAGTATCATTTTATAAAAGAGCCAAAGCATCTCATTCGTTAGTAGGTGCAAAAATAATCTTTCAACAGGACAATGCACTGATACATAAAGTAGCCGATTGGCTTAAAGAAAAAAAAATCTCTAAATTGAACTAGCCTACAAGATCTCCCGATCTAAATCCGATCTAAAATGTTTGGAAGGTACTGAAAGATAATATTCAGAGCTGAAAAGAATTTCCAAGAGAAGTAGACGATCTCAAAATCGCCCTAATAGAAGAGTGGTCGAAATTGGAAAAGTGGGTTTTTTTGAAGTCTGTAGACTCAGTTCCAAGAAGGATCGAAGCGGTATTCAAAGAAGAGGGTGGGCATTCTAAATATTGATTAGGCAAAAAATATATATATATATTATGTATATATGAAAACATGAAAAAAATCATGTATTTTGTTTTTGTTCGTTAAATAAAAAAAATCGGGCGTTACTTTTGCCGATGACTGTACAATTAGTATAATTCTTATATATAGAACCTAGTAAAGTAGGTTAAATAGAACAAAGCCATTATTTGCACAGTATTGGTCTAAAGTATTTAAGACCTATCTTTTCGTTTCAATAAAAGAGAACTCATTAGAGTTCGACTCAGTTAGAGTCTATTATTCTGACTTTAAAGTTCCGCTCTACTTACCCCCGATAAGTCAAATCCAAATAAAGGATTAGTAGTTTAATCCCATGACCCGAATTAGTCTCATGACGTAATATAGAGCTCTAATCTAACTAATAGCTTCTTCCACGCCTCAATCGTAGCCTACAATATTAAGGGTTAGATAGAGTTTGGTAGTTTAGAGTATTGTTTGGATTAGTTTTAGTGTAAATTGATATCCGTATCACACATATTTCCCGATTCCGGTGTGAAACCGGAAACGTGAGCACGTGCCCACATGATTCCGGATATTCGATTTCACCGATATTACCATCGGTTCGATACCACCGATAACCCTGATCTGAAAGATTAGTACGATCAGAGCAATTCTTGCGATATGATAGATATTACTGATATTGGCTAAACAACCGATTGTAAGGATCTAACCGATCCTACGAATGTAATAGACAAAATTCACAACAATTATAAATAAAGGCCTTTTGCCATGGGAAGAATATCTCCCATCTTTGCTTTTATTAAATCACTAAATCATACAATTACTTTTCATATATCTTACGATTACTTTTCATAAATCATGCGACTACTTCTCGTACATCTTACATTTTCTTATAATAAATCATACAAGTCCTTTTTAATAAACCATATACTCTTTTATACGTTTGATAAATACCCACGTTACGACCATTACTAAAGCTATAAAAGACCTAAGTTCTGTCCCGAAACTATACTTAACCGCTCGACCAAATCTAACACGCTTTTTCGACCCACTTAACCAAACCTTTGGTTACACGAATCTCTTATTGATCAAACGACAGACTCGCCGATTTCAGGTCTGACACCGGATCAGTTCCTACGCTCACAGCGTACTAACATTAAACTATACTGTCAAAAATACAGTATATCTTACATTAAAAATACGGAAAACAAAAATAGAATACCACAATTTAACGACACAATCATTAACAACAATAGAATAATTATTTGAATCATTTCCTGATTTGTCTATGGTATGACAAATCAACAAAACTATATCAAATTCAAGAAATTACCGGTAATATTTTATACGGACGTGTAGATCTACAGTTCGTTTCATAATTTAAAATTTTTAACCAAAATTAGTCTTTCATATAGACAATCATCCTTAATTTACTTATTCACCCAATAGCATAATAATGATCAGCAATACGTAGACAAAGAAAATGGCGTTGCAATGTTTACTCACACGACTACTCACAAGATATCACACAACCTATCAAATTCAAATCTAGAAACCAATTCGGACCATCCGTAAAAACCTTTACGAGATAAACTTTAATTTGAGTGATTTTTATTTTAAGTATTTACTATTGTTATTTTAATCTGAATGCCTAATTTATTATGTAAAACAATAGTGCTAATAAACGACATTACTATTATTATTTACTGATTTAGATAAGATAATATTGAAAGGGCCAAAAATGGTTTAGCGGAATAGAATTTGAGACTTTTCGATCTTATGTTAAAAAAAATGTCAAATTATGCAATGCTATATACCAGGGTACCTAATTGAAAGTCACATATAATGAAATTTAACTTACTTATATGCTTTTAAACACCTGGGTCTTGTATTATTTTACATGATTATTTTTATATGTACCACTAAAAAATTGTACAGAGTACTTTTATTTAATCAATAAGTGGTTAATAATAAAATGAATAAAAAGATTTGCTAATTCAAACATAAATATAATAATTGATGTAGTTTAATGATTACAGGATTAGAATTAATTACTATAGCACAATATTTCAATCCAATATGATGGAATATAGAAGGTATATGATTGAATGTATTTCTTTTGTCGGTTTAAATATAAGTATATACGTACATATAAAAGTAAACCTACCTCAGATTTAATCCAATAATACTAGATACACTTATGACGCCTTACAGATGCAATATCGGTGATGACCGTTAGGACTTAAAACATTTTCCCAATCAGTCTATTAAGATAAAATGAACGTAAGCTAATCTTAAACTAATCTTGGAGCACGTTTTTTAGTGGTTGGAATGCAATGTTAGCCGGTATAATGTATCGAATTTTGTGTAACGGCCTTAATTTATACTATACAAATAAAGTATTGTTATGCAACATCGTGAAAACAATCGCGTTTTTGACGGAAAGTATAGATGATACTGATACTATGATGCGTTCAGGCTTATAAGAATTTTTATTTTTCTAGCATTGTGGTATTCCTCAAATGGTACCGAATTTGAAATCACCGATATCATTTAACACTATTTAACTATAAAAACTCCAGCTTTTTATCTCACTCTAAATCATTTTTTGAAAAATTTTCTAACCATGAACCAATCTACAAATCAAGCTGTTGGTGCTAATCATCAAAATAATAATGGGCTGCAAATAGTTCAGAATGTCGGCAGTCCACAAAATGCTGCTATAGTTAGGCAGTCTCCAAGGCCTCAGAACACATTCGTCGGTAATTTAACTGCGGTCAACAATATATTGACCTAGTTGAAGGTATATATTTATGCTCTAGAACGCAAAGAACGCAATATGTAGAAAATCTATCATTGCAGGCTTTCAATCCAATTTCGGGGAATTCCTTCCCTTAAATATCCGAATCTTTCTTTGATAATTAAGCATTTTATTCTTTTTATAGATTTATAATATTTTTTCACACTTTAATTGTAAAGATACCCTTAAGAGTATATAAATAATTTCAAATTTTATATAGCATTTTAATACAATATTATATTTCTGACTATATGTAGACACAGTATAAATTTATGGAAATATGGTGTAATATAATTCGGATACCTTTATATTCTCATTCATATGAAATTTTATTTATGTTTTTGATTTTGTCATACGAGAAATCGGCGAGTCTATCAGTTCAACAAAAATGATAGTTACGGTTAGGCTTGGTCGAAAAAAGGTGCGTTAGGTTTGGCAGAGTGGGTGAATATGAGTAATATACCGCAGAGTAGTTTTAAAGTGATGTATTTTATTATATTATATGTTTTAATAAACGATTGCCCTAATTTTTACTATTAAGCGATGTGAAGAGTAATAAATGAAAATTTATAAAGAGTTTTTTTTGGTCTCTGCACGAGATAAATAAAATATCAAAAAAAAGAAAAAATAAGACAGCTATGTTAAGCTGTAAAAGAAAGCATCATCACTACTTGTTGAAGCGCTTGGGTATTTTTATGTAATGAAGAATCGGTTTCCATTGAACGGTCTGTTGAATAATGATTAAAGTGAAGAAACAGTATTTTACAGCTATTTTCATAATTTTTGGGACACCTGATAAAATTTGCCGAATGATATTTCGGCCGATCTGGTTAGTTATTGATTTCGGAATAAAAGATTCAATAACAGATATAGATATACGTAATTTAAGATCAGGTGAATAATATAATATTGCAGTATTATAAACAGTGTTTCGGAGGGTTTCGGACCTTGGGAGGTTTAGGCCGAAACACTGATTATTAAGTACTGCATATGTATCTCTGGCACGTATGAATTCTGTTCCAGTTATGCAGATCCTGTGCCCCAGATCTTTTAATAAATTCTAAAGCTAATAGTGATAATTTCTCAATAGCTACTTAACCAAATTCAGTAAAATTTTTTTATTTTAATTTTATTGCTTTGAAAAATTAAAATTCATTGAATTTGGTTTAATAAATATTGAGAAAACATCAATAAAGTTTTTTAAAAACTTAAATATCAAAAAAAAAAATTCAATATCTCAAGTAAAATTTTCCTTCTTTAAAATTTAAGCAAAGATTTCTCAACCATAAATTATTCAAATTTAATAAGCTTTTTTTTTATTTTAATTCTGTGGTTCATAAAATAAAATAAAATAAAATAAAAATTGATTGAATTTGAATAGCAAATTGCCAAAAAATTTTATTAAAAATTAAAAAAATTTTGCCACGGATTTTTTTTAAGACACCTAAACATTGAACGAAGATTATTTAGCAATTACCAGATTGAATTCGATTAATTTTTTTTATTTTGATTCTATTAGCATATATAATTAAAATAAAAAATTTTAATCAAAATTGATAAGGTAAATGCCGAGTAAAGCTGCTACAAAATTTTTTTATTTCATGGACTCACAGAATTAAAATAAAAATAAGTTTATCTAATTTAAATAGTTTATAGTTGAAATTCTTTGCTTAAAGTTTAAAGAAAGAAAATTTTACTTATTATTTTTCGATATTTAAGTTTTTTTTAAAACTTTAGTGATGATTTTTTAATTGCATTAAACCAAATTCTATAAACTTTTTTTATTTTAATTCTACAAAGTTATAGAATTAAAATAAAAAAATTTTACTAAATTTTTTTAAGTAACTATTGAGAAATTATCACTAAAAGGTTTAAAAAAACTGTCAAATTTATTAATAGAATCTGTATACTATAACTCTGGACTTCCCTAGCATCATCTGAAAAATGGCACATATCGCAGATTTACAGAATTGGACCTTTTTTTAAGACCCCAAATTTCATATAATTTTACAAGTTAAACCATCTTATCTGTTATCTCTAAGATTTATACTTATCTAATAGGTTTATTTATATGATCAGTTATATATTGATTATCTGACTATTATCTGACCAATCAATTTTTGTAAACAATTATATTTTGGTGACAATTTTTAGAGTCCAATTTCAGTTCTGTAAATCCACCAATATGACTATTATGTGATATTCAAATAATTCTTTAAAATTCACTTAGATTAGATTAGAGTCTATGTTAAGGTTAGGATTAAAGAAGTTTTAATAGTAGAATTATTCACGAAAAGCTGTTAGTTAATACACTGAAGATAGTTTCTTGTGCAAATTTTTAAAACAAATATTTGTTTTGTATTTTCTAATTGTGTTACATTGTACCAAATCATAGATTATTATTGGCTAATAAACTGTTAATTATTATGTTATACTGGGGTAGTTGTATCTCTGGCACAAAATTGATCTGACGTATGATAATTGTTATTCATAAGTTATTATCATGATGATTAGCACCTAAAATCAAGATGTAAATTGTGAATTGTAATTAATATTTAGAGTTTGCAATAGGATAAGAGAGATTAAATTTGCTATTTAAGGTTAAAGGAGTAAATAGTTAATCAATAGTGCTTTTTTCTTTGCTGTCTGACATTGTTTAGAGATAAAATGGAGAGTAACAAGTTAAGAATAAGGAAGTAAAATAAAAAAACAGTTTAAAAAAATAAATGAATTGAATAAATGAAGTTGTTTTTGGTAAAAATAAGTGAAGAAATAGAAATAAGTAGAGTTACTTGGGACTTGTTTACCAACTTGAGTGGGCTTGCTTGGTAACATGTTTTCTAATACTCACAGTATAAACTTAAAAGTTTATTATATATTAAGTAAAAATAAAAACAAAAATAAAAAATAAAAAGTAAAAAAAATGTGTGAAAAAATAGAAATAAGTTACTTGGAAACTAGCTTACTAACTTGAGTGACTTGCTTGGTAATATGCTCTTTTATACTTATAGTATAATCTAAAGTAAATAAATAAATAAATGAAAATAAGCAGAGTTGCTTAAAGAAATAGAAATAAATAAAATTGTTTGAAAACTAGTTTACTAACTTGAGTGGTTTTGCTTAATAACATGCTCTCTGATACTTGCAGCATAATTTAAAGATATATATTTTTAAGAAAAATAAAAAAGTAAATGAACAAATAAATAAATATAAATAAGCAAAGTTACTTAAAGGAATGTAAATAAGTAGAGTTGCTTGGGAACTAGCTTATTAACTTTAGTGGGCTTGCTTTAAAACATGCTCTTTAATGCTTGCAGCATAATTTAAGAGGGTGCTGGTCAAAATCCTGACAAACAGAATTCTGACAGGCCATAATCCCAACAAAAAAATCCCAACAGTAAAAATTCTGACAAATTCTGACAACAAAAAATTATTGTTTATTCAAGTTAGAGTAAGATTAGGTGAGTGCATAGGTTAGAGTTAGGGTGTGTGCCTAGGTTAGGGCTAGGGTATAGGTGATTTATATAGTAAAATTGCTCAACAAACACTTTTTTTGATTGTTGGGATTTGTTAAGATTTTTGATTGTCAGGATTTTTTTGACCTGTCGAGATTTTGTTTGTTGGGATTTTGACCCAAACCCATTTAAGAACATATTATGTAGTTATATATTTGTGATATAGTTTAAAAAAAACGAAAAAGAAAATAAAAAGGAAAAATAAATGAACAAATGAATAGAAGTAAGTTGAGTTGCTTGGGGACTTGCTTACTGACTTGTATGGGCTTTAATTGTATATTTAAAAAAATGTAAAATGAGAATGTGGAAAATGTGTATTGCAAAAAAAAGAAGAAATAAGATTTTGAGATACTCGGGAACATGCTTGCTGACTTTTGAGTGGTCTTGCTCAGTAACTTGCTTCACAATGCTCATCTAATGTTTAGTATTGAAATTTGAAAAATTAATGAATTTGTTTAAAGATTGTTGAAATACAATGATGCATACACTCTCTTTTTGCCACGTGACTATTATGTAAACCAAACACAACCCTAGGCCCGCTAAACAGCAATATTAAATAAGTACTTAAATTTAATATTATTAAAGTACTTTAAATTTAAATTATATTAAGTTTTATATTTATAATATATTTAATTTTTAATATTTTTGAAGTACTTTAAATAAGTGCTTATAATCAGTGTTGTTAATGGACATGGACATGTCCATGGACTGTCCATGGACATGAACATATAAAAATATGGATGTTCATATCCATGAACATATAGAAATATGTCCATGTCCATGGACATGGACATTGGACATTGTGTCCATGGACTGTCCATGTCCAATAATTTGCTTGGACATATGTCCATGTACAACACTGCTTATAATTACATACCAACATATCTTAGGCCTAATAAACATTTATTAAGTATATAGCAAATACTTAACAAATAATTTTTAAATGCTTTGACAAACTTTGTGATGCTTACATGGAATTGAATATTTATGTATTTAGAAATGTATAAGTAAATATATGGGCACCTAAAGCCGCAGACTACTCCCATAGTGTCTTCTTCATGTCAATAAATTGATCCGAGCGAGAATACGCGCAAGAAATACGTATACATGTCAATATATAGTCTTTATAATACTGTAAAATTATATTATTCGCCTGATCTTAAATTACGTATGTCTATATCTGTTATTGAATCTTTTATTCTCGAAATTAACAACTTAACCAGATTGGCCGAAAAATCATTCGGCAAATTTAATCAGTTGTCCCTGAAATGCGTAAAAGCCTGAAAAAAGTATGTGTTCCTGAGAAATTGCTTCTGAATTCACCTTACCCATTATTCAACTGACTTTTTAATGAAGCCCGATTCGTCACTACACAAAAATACCAAAGCGCTTCAACAAATAGTGATGGTGCTTCTCTTTTTACAGCTTAGCATAGCTGTTTTTTTTTGTTTTTTTTTGATATTTTATTGCTTTATTTATCTCGTACAGAGGCTAAAAAAATTTCTTTATTAAATGTTTGTTATTTTCAAGTAAAAGTTAGAGTGATGGTTTATCAAAAAAAAAAAAAACCTAAAATAAAATCGGTGGATATGACATCTATATTCCCTTTATTAAAACATATAATATTATATAGTACATCATAAACCCACATTACAGTATATTACTCATATTTGCTCATTATCATACCCATTCTACCAAACCTAACACGCCATTTTCGACCAATTAACAATGAGAATATAAAGGTATCCAAATAATGTTACACCATATTTCATAAATTTATACTGTGATTACATTTAGTCAGAAACATGATATTGAATTAAAATGCTGTATAAATTTTACATACTACTTTTCAACTAAAGCGCGAAAAAAAAATTATAAAACGATAAAAACAATATAATACTTATTTATCAAAGAAAGATTCAAATATTTATGGGAAGGAATTTCCAGAGGTTGGATTGAAAATCTGCAATGATCCATTTTCTACATATTGCGTTTTTTGTGATCTAGCATATAAATCTATGCCTTCAACTAGGTCAATGTATTGTTGAACTGCAGTTAAATTACTGACGAATACATTTGCAGCGTTCTGAGGCCTTAAAGGTTGCCTGACTATATTTTGGGCCCTTCGAAGTAGGCCAGCAGCATTTTGTGGACTACCGATATTCTGAAGTATTCGTAGCCCATTATTATTTTGCGGCTGAACACCAACATTTTGATTTGAAGATTGGTTCATGTTTAAAAAAAGAATTTTTTTAAAAAAAATGATTTAGAGAGAAATAAAAAGTTGGTTTATTTTTTAATGATATTCGCGATTTCAATTTAGATACCATTTACGATGCTAGGAAATAAAAATTTTTGTAGTCCGGACGCAGCACAAATTGACTTTATTTTTTCTTATCGTTTATTATTCTGATCATGAATCGCTCATGTTGTATTTATCTACTATTTAATGTTTCATGTACAACCGTATCAAACCAGTCAATGCTGAAGATAAATGTGCCTCTTTTGGTAAACACCGGAAGATGTCTTCACAATTATAATAATATAGAAATAATGAGATTCATAATGTTTAAAGTTAAAGGCTTACATACATGTCATAAATGGTTTAATTGTTGATTTAAAAGGAAATAATTAATTGGTAAAATAAAAATTGAGATTATTAATCCAAAAGGAAATCAATCGATAAAAACCATTTTGTTATTAAATTATTTTTGATATTAATAAAGTTCAAATACAACATATGCAGCCTGTGCAGAAAATTTGGAATTTATGACCATAGTAATGCAAGTCAAAGTAACATCAAAAGTTGAAATTAAGTAAAGCATAGAAAATTTGTAAATGATTTCCACTAATTAGTTACATTAAGTTTAATGAGACTTAATTGCATAATTTTATATTTGGGATATGTGTTGAGAAAATAAATTTATTTTTATTTTAATTTTATAATTTTATAGAATTAAAATAAAAAAATTTTCTCCAGGTAGATTAATCATCGAGGAAATTTTAATTTTTATAATTATTATTTTTGCCAAATTCGCCCTTTTTCTCAACCCCTAGCCTATTTTGCCTTATTCCTTCAAATCCCCATCAATAGGGGGTTTCAGACCTAAGGTTCAGGTTTCTGATTTCGAATTAAATTAGTAACGTATCGATTTTATAATCAGTGAACTATAAATCCTATTTAGTTTTAGTTGTAAATCTATTTATATAATGAGATATAAAATACATTATCAGAAAAAGGTGTTTATTTTTATCCTCGGATAACTCCTTTTTCATTTTCTGATTTCGAAAATTCAAACGAAAATAGGAATTTTTAAATTTCCACTTATTTTCAAAATAAGCTAACTCTGAAACCCCAAGTTTTTCCACGCTTTAATCTTTTATTAATATAAAATGTAATCTCCACTCATTTTAGTATTATATAACTCCATTATAATAATTTAGTCAAATATATACAATTTAACAATAAAGCATTTTAGGTACAGTATTTAAAAGAACTGCATATAATATTTCAATATTTATTGCTTAATCTTAAATACGCTAAAGTCGCATATGTATACATTAATAACAACTGTTTTTTAGGCTAAGTTATTTTTTAATGTCCTGAGTCAACTTGTAAAATGTATGGCAAAGAAACAAATAACCATTTTAAGTTTTGCGTTACATCAGATCTGCTTGTATGATGTGATCGGCTCCTTACATATAGACGTATTATCTAAATTTCCGTTTAGGTAGCACAGTATCATCTATACTTTTTCGTCAAAAACGTGAGAACGATCATTTTTAGTATAGTATATTTCAAAAACTTGTTACACCAAATTTCGATACATTAAATAGTCACTAAATAAAGTGCTCCAAAATCAGTTTAGCACACATTTTTTCTATCAATAGACTGATTGGGAAAACGCCGTGCAGTGGTTCTGGGTCACTACATCACTACACAGTGTAGACATGCCTTTGTTTATAGCATACAGCACAACATTATAACGTACTGTAATGCAAAAATTTTTGCTGATCGCTTTTACTAGTCAATCAGATCATTAGAGCAAATTTTACGTACTATTTGTGTGCCAATTGTACGGTTTTAAATTTAACAGCCATCACCGATATTGCTTCTGTAAGGCGCTGTAAGTGTATCAGGCATTGTTGGATTAAAATCTGAGATAGTTTTACTTTTCATATGGGCGCATATACTTATATTCCAAATCGACGAAGAAATGCATTCAATCCTATACCTTCTATATTCCATCACATTAAATTAATTCTAATCCTGTAATCATTAAACCACGTCAATTATCATGTTTTAAGTGCGTCACTAATATGTAAATAGCACGAAAGAATAATGTAAAAAAACAAGCCTGAAATTGACTTCAAAGTTTAGATTCCTTAATATACTTAGTTATCAAAGTTTAATATGGTTTAATCAGCCAAACTCTTTTTATTCCTTTTACTGTTAACCGCTTATAGATTAATTAAAAGTATTGCCCTTAATATTATTATGACTATGTATGATTGTTTTTGTGGTACATTATAAATAATTATGTAAAATAATACGAGACCCAGGTATTTAATTTCATTATTTGTGACATTCAATTAGGTACCCAGGTATTAAGCCTTACATAAATTGACCTTTTATATATATACTAGTCTCTAACCCGGTGCGTAGCACCGGGCTTTAACATTCTTAATTTTTTTTATATTCTTTTAATTATAATTGAT